AGCAAATATTTGCTTGCTCACGCTGTATACCTAATTTATTATAATCTCGCTGTTATTAAGTTGATTTGACTGCCTGAGTCCAGCAAGGCAAGACATAGATGATTGTTTCCCTGACTATCATGAATGAATATTTCAACAGTTAATTATCGGGAATGACATTTTGTGGATCCTATCAGAAACCGAACTATATTTATCTTAACCACAAGTTAACAGAGACAGAACACGAAGCTTAATATTATAACTGTATGAAACTAAATAGACTTTTTGGATATATTAAAACAATTAAAGTGTTTTATTTATATGCTTATTCTTTAAATTGATTTTTAATGACTTAAAAAAAAATATTAATTATGCATTTTTCAACTCTGGTTCGTTTTATATACTTGTAACACATTTTTGCCTTTGAATTAACCTTGGATCACTGTTAGTTATTGCCCGGTGTGATAATATAATTATTGAGTTTATTTCTACATGAACTTTAATTAATTTCTTTTGAAAATATTTCTTCCTCATAAACTTTTTGTGGACCCTTTTAATTTGTACTCATAATATTAATGCCAACTATACTCTGTTTTTAAACTAAGAGGAGCGATTTGAATTTAAGTTGGCAATTCTGTAGACTTCTAATTGGTCAGATTGAAGTCAGTTTCACACATCACATTTTAGCTACTGTTGACAGGGGTTGACAGTTCTATTTTCGATTCTGACATTTTATAATTTAAGTTTTGTTATTGCTTTGATATCTCATCATTATTACTTAGTTTTTTATTTTATTTTTTTAATAACAGTTCTTTTCAAAACTTTAGTAAGCAATTGTATTGAATTTTTACGATTATGGATCCTTCTACATCGAATACTATTATAACAGTTCCTCGCGGAGTCCATTAAAACAACAACGAAAACGAATGAGTTTAGGCTATTTGTCTCTCAGAAAAGCAGTAAATAATAAATATGTACAAATAGGTATTGGATAATAATACGAAAACCAAAATTGTTGATGTTATATCCAAAATTTCTCAAGCTACCAGTAAGTTTTACTCATTACTTTCAAATTAAAAATAATATTAAATACTCAATATTTTTCTTACAGGTCAAAGTCAACTACTTACCGATTATTGAAATAATACCGCAATAATGGAACAATATCTAGTCTAAAAAGTATTTATGGAAGACGAGGAGTTCTAAAAACATTTGATTATGATGATGATAAATGCTATTCGAAGATTAGTACACGATTTCTTTTTCAAAAATGAGTTATCTAGATTGAATAAAATTTTGCAAGAATTGAAATATTTAGATTTGCCACAAATATATTATTCATCTTTATATACTTTCTTGAGATATAATAACTAAGTAAGTTTGTAACTTTGACCAGTCAAATGTACTGTTTATTTATTATGTATATATTTTTTTAGATATTTAAAAAGAAATTGTCAAAGTGTATTGATAGGACACTATATACGTAGATTTAAAATCCATCAAACAATATAGAAAATAAAACAGACCAAGCTTCTACTTTGATGAAGATCATAATAAGGTTTATCAACAGGCCTGAAATGCCAAAAGCAGGTGCCTTAATATACGTGCTAATTCTGAAGGTTTGGTAGAAAATGCATTTACCTTGACGAGACGAAATCCGAAGTATTATAGAATTGGTTTTCTACATTTTTTACAAAGTTTTCTAATTATGCTATGATTGTCATGGAAAATGTATCATATCATAGTCGAAAAGTTGAAAAAATCCCTTTGTCATCAAGAAAATCTGACAGGAATGGTTACAAAACTAAAAATATTAAATTTATTTAAATATGAAGTGATATCAACTTTTACACCTAATTTGGCAACATAAAGATGCACATAATTTGAATGTTGTCGATGTAAAGGCTAAAGAAACCAATAAAGTTGTGTAGTGGCTGCCCCATATCACTGCGAGTTAAATCCCATAGAATTGATAGAGGTACAAATAAATCAGGTGGCAGCTAAAAACACAACGAATCTTCTGATGTAGATTAACATATTGAGTACTTAGTGTTTTTTGTTTCTGATTCAATGTAAATGTCAAGATGTACTTTGTCTTTTTACTTATTATGTTGTATAGGCACCTCTTATGTATTTTTGTTTTATTTTTCAAACTTTTATTATTAATTTAAATATTATAACAAATTTACAAAATAAAGATACTACTATCTATTCATATGTTGTTTTTCTAACCCATATTAAAAAAAAATTACAAAACTACAGTGTGGTATACAAAAATTACAACTGTTCTCATTTTTATTGTAAAATTGTTGTATCTTGCACACATTTAAGCGCCAGTCTGTATTTAACTTAAAAATTCTTGTTCTGCAAGGTATAAGTGGTAAGAGTAGATTTGAGCAGCCGTTTTTGAGAAATCTGGATTTATAAAAAAGGCGTCCTTTAAATTTTACAATAAAAATGGGAGCAGCTTTAAATATTTTACCCCACAAACCTCTCCCAACCAAATATTTTAAAAATACATTAATTATTAAAAAAATTATTTATGAAAAACTAAATTGAACTTTTAACACTCTGTATTTCTGAAATCATCCACTTTTGGACTGATATAAGTTGGGTTAAATCGTTATATTTAAGCCTCAGGAATGGTAGCATTTTTTCCGCAATATTATAAATTGGTAAATATTGCTTTTTTGGTGTTCTACTTAAAAAAAAATACAACTTTATTACTAATTTATTTTAACTAAAAATTAATGAATTTCTAATCAAAATGATTAAAATATAACTAAATATTAAAGTAAATTTTATTTATTTGAAAATAAACCATTTACAAAATTGTTAATTAACATTTAAAACTACAAAATATTTTGGATATATTTAAAAGTGCTATTGCCATCTGAATATGTCCATAATTTGTGGCCTCCAAAACTTTCATTATTTAACCTAAAACAAATACCTTGTTTTATTATTTTAAATAAATAGCTTGGTACTTAAATAGTCAAAAGCATAAAGTGTTATCACTAACATTTGGTGTGGCACCCTTTTTTAAACATTAAATTGCTATATGTAAAAGGAATTTCCAAACAAGTGTCAAAAATATTCTCTAGATATAATGTAAAAATTGCTCATAAACGAAACCTTATTTTTAAATTTTAAACCCAAACTCAAGAAAGCAACTCAATTCAACTAAATGTAGTTTATAAAATAGACTGCAAAGATTATAACTACACTTACACATATTAAACTCTGCGAATGTGTATTTTAATTTAATCAACTAGTTGTAAGCTACCTACACACTATCACAAAATATGGGTTTCGTTCATGATCATTTAAAGTGTTTATGTTCCTAAATGTTTTTTTAAATTTTAAAAAGCTGTAATTGCACCAGAAGATTTCGAAACATATGTAGTGCTGAATTATTAAAAATATCTACCGATCATACTAAAGATATTTTATTTGTTTGTAAAAAATATATTAAATTGGGTGTAGGAAATCCTTCTGCTGACACAAAGTTACAAATTACCTTTTTTATGCCTTAATAATTTTTATTTAATTATTTGTCTATACAATAAATGATCATACAAAATTAAGATACATATTATCTTACCTGCAAATAAACATTTAGTTTTCGAGAGGCTTGAAGGATGTCTCAAAAAAATATTCCATCTGCTTTATATTGTATAAAAATATGTTTTCAAGAAGACCAAAGACATTCTGATACACAATGTGGAATTTAAGCAACAATTATAAATCCTATCTACAAAAAAACAGGAGAATGACAAAAACCATTATTATTATAGTAAAAGCTGGTACCATTGCACTTTCTTGGACTTCTACATACACTTAATAAGCTGTTGCCCACAAGTTTACACTTTCGACTGTTGAATATAACATCTTCTTAGTGGAGACAAAATTCGTATAGATTTGATTTATTTCATTTCAAAACACTTGTCTGCAAACATATCGTATCGTGCTTCAGAACTTTGCTACATTTTGCCTGAAGAAAGAACCCTTATTTAATTAGGAAATCCATACAACTAATGGTAATCTTGTAGTTTAATTTTAAGAAAAAACATTACAAATTAAACTATACCTATAAAGAAATATAAAAATAAACTTTATTTTTTTGTACCTGCCAAAATTCTTCATTTTAAATAAGCTTTTCTTTAACTACATATTTTTCAGTCCCTCCTAAATATGTTTTGTAATAGGTAGGTAATAATAGGTGCTTAATTTCATTTCAACAAATAGAACTGGCATACCTATTTTTCTAATATTTCCATCAAATTGAAAAACCTACTATTTACTTTCTTTTCTGTTATTATAATAGATATATAATTTTATAATCACAGTTACTTATAAAACAATGAATAAAATATCGAATTAAAACTCTATGTTAAACTCAAAATGTAAATTATTTTGTATTTTGTTGGGAGACATTTTACTCAATTTACTGAAATTTGGTCGCTGCTTGGGCGATTCTCTTCTCAACATACTGGTCCGAGCTGCGATATGAGACGAAGTAAGGAAAAAATAAAAGTACAACTAAAATACAACAATTATAAATCAAAAATGGAATGAGCACAATTTAGTGTCATCTTTATTCGTTGGTTATCTAAAACTTTGACTTCAATGAATTCATAACAAAGTTTTGAAATGTTTTTCTTGAAATGATACAAGACAAATTCAAATTTACCGCTAAAATGATATCTAGTTACTTTTTTGGTTATTTTTCCCTGTGTAAATAGGACTTTTCAATTCGCTCCTCTTAGTTTAAAAACAGAGTATAGTACACTATATTTAAACGATAAATGCTCACTATATCTCGTAATAATGATATAATGCCTGCGAATTAAGATATGGCACTACACGGAGTTGTTGGACAATGTCTAGGATATTCCAATTTAAAATCCTAGTCTTTAGAATATTAGATTTAAATATAAAAGTTAGGAGAAGGTCATTAGAAATTACAAATTTATATTCATTTTGCATAGGAGAATTTACAAAATATATTTTCTTTTCAGGTATCACCGAATTTAGTAGATTTTATAAAATCTCCAGTAAATATAATAGACTTTGCAGCGACACTAAGTTTCTACATAGATTTAATCCTATTATCAGAGAAGAAGAATCAATTATTGGACTTCTTTAGCATAATTCGGATATTTAGGCTTTTTAAATTAACGAGGCATTCTCCGGGATTGAAGATTTTAATCCACACATTCAAGGCATCTGCTAAAGAATTAGGACTATTGGTGTTCTTCCTCGTACTTGGAATTGTGGTCTTTGCAAGTTTGGTTTATTATGCTGAAAAACTGCAGGTGAGTAAAAAATATTATTTTAAAATCCTAAAATCAAATATTGTTATAATAAAAATGGCACAATTAAATTACAACGAATTCAGTTATTAAACATTTTTAGTTATTTTGAAAGTTATTTAGATTTTAAGGGTAAAAATAGAAACTATTATTTGTGCACAGGCTTGCTTGTCAGGGACCTATTAGAAGTACTCATAGTTCTACAGAAGATTTTCAAATAAGCCTTGTAGTCATGTCTCTAGAGATGAATATCTACTTTGATAGTGTTGGATCATATCGAGGATGATCATTGTTTGTTAATTTTCTGTCTATGGACATATGGTGATATAGAAAATTCACTAATACTTATATATAAATATTAAGGAATATAGGGTGTTTTAAAAAAAAATACTCCATCGCTAGGTTATGTAGAACACTGAGAAGTAGGTGGGGTTAGGATGCTAAAACACTTTAGTAACGACATCCGTGTTAGAATTATAGTGTGTTAAAATTTTATATTTTTGTTTGGTTTTTTCTTTAATTTATAAACACATGCAGGCACAACGCAGGCAACACACACTGGTATAAATGACGTCTTTTTTAGGTACTACCATACGTATGAATACGGTAGATGTACTACCCAATATATTTGTTAAAATATTTGCGCTATAAATAGTATATTACAAACCGAGGTGGGGAGAGTTTCATTCCTGTCTTGAGATTAGTTAGTTAACCGAGACGTAAAGCGTCGAGGTTAGCTATGATCTCGAGACAGGAATAAAACTTACCACCGAGGTTTGTATACTATTTTATTTACAATCATCATATTTCGACCAAAGTTAATAAATCTCTGTTTTGTTCTGAACATACCTAAAATATTACATTTAACGACAAATTACCAAGCGCGCGGTTTTCTCAGAATAATCAAGTAAATATATTGTTACCGTGATTACCGGGTAAACAACTGTTACCAATATAAATAAATGTCAGATAAAGTCGGATATTAAATTCGCGAATAATAAATATCAATAATGTAACAACCAGTTAGCCTAAAGACCAACGCTCGTCACCAAATGTAACAACCAGTTATGTCTAAAGACCATTTACAACTACTGATAGGTCTTTAGCTACTGTTACTATACTATTAAGGGATAAAGGCAGCTCTTGTCACCAGCCCTAGGGTCCTGGAGTCCTGAAGGAACATCCATTCGCCAGTGGCAAAATAAAATAATAAAAGAAAATAATAAAATACAAAAAAAACCTCCCTTAATAGCATATGTCGAGCGGTTTTGGCAACTGACTTAAGACTCTCAAGTCCTTAAGGGTAGGAACGCCGAGGCTTAACATGCTCGGAATATTTCTTACTGGTTTTTGGAAAGAGGTGAGAATAAAATAGGTTAATAAACAATAACACGTATATTTAAATATAAGTAAAAAATGAATAACAAATTTCAATAAATCAAAACAATCTCTATTTTTTGAAATAAGACATAGCAAAAATTACTACCCACAATTGTAAATCTTTATTATAATAAACCATGCTAATATAATATAATCTATGATGAAACTTTGATATAATCAAACCTTTTAATATAAAAAAACTCTTTATATGATAAAACCCTTAAAACTGATAAACATTTAATAAGTAAACTTGGGACGAAAATGAAAGAATTGGCATTTGAAGAAGACTAATGAACTGTTTTAAAATACATAACCCAAACAAGAGATTTAAACATGTTAAAATAAAATAGATATTACCTTTGAAACTAAAACACTACACACACACACTTTACTATATATAATAAATACTAATAATTACTAAGTTACATTTTTGGGCATAGATTTGGCCTAACGGCCGCCCCTTGAGTCCTTTTTCAATGATTGACTCTCTATTTATATCAACCTTAACGTGATTATTTTACAAGAAACGACTTATTTATTTTTAATGATTATTTGCACGATTTGTCCTTAAATTTACTAGTGCAATGAACTATTTCTAATTGTTTGGTTTTAATAAATATGTTGTGTTAATTTAATAGGTAATAAAAATATTAGATATTTTTGGGATTTTTGTTAAATTCTTTGTATTTTAAAAATAATAATGCCAATTATTACAATAAGTAGTTTATTGTATTTTAGTTCATTGTTGTTTTTTTGCCATTAAAGAGGTATCATAAAATTTGTCAAAAAAGTGTTATTTTTTTAAATATAAAAAATATTCATCTAGAATAGATGAAATGAGGGCGGGAAATGAGAGGAGGAAGTAGAGGTGTGTAATGTGGCACTTCCCAACCTTCAATGACGTTAGTAATGACTGCATTACATATACGGTTGTAAATAAAATATAATATTTTTTATCTATTAATGTCGACTACTACTAATTTATCCACCTATAATTAACCGTGTTTACTATACAAACATGTACTATGCATACTAGATTTATAGTTGTAGTGTGTTTATACAAAAATATTTATTATGCTTGACATAACTGTATAAAGATTCGCACAATAATACCATATATTTAAATAAACGTTTATATCATAATTTTCTGATGATTTCAACTTATCGCCTAATGATTCACAGCTCTAGATGATATCCCAGCGACGTTTCATGAGGGGGTTGCGAACACGGCCATCCTACGGTTTGTTCATCCTCGAACAGATGATTATCTAAAACAAATAAAGTGGGTGGTGTTTAAAGAGTTTTTAATAAACGAATATAGTAGTCCAAGCAGTGATACTTGAAACCTGTTATTCACTGAAGTCTTAATACCAGCAGCTTTAATTGAAATTAATTTGAAAACAGTGTAAGCCTTTATACTTGCATTTTCTAACTTGAAATCACTGTAGGCTTTTATACCTGCAGTTTCTAATTTGGAATCACTGTAGGCCTTTATACCTGCAGCCTCTTTTTTTGTGTATCTTAATATTAACTACCTTTTAGGTTGCTAGAGGCCTTTATATCAAAAGCATCATAATTTTATGTTTACTTTCTTTTTATTTTCGAAGGTTAAATAGCTTAATGTCTTCTACACAATACACTCCTTCATAAGCTACATTTTTTTTAGATCCCTTCGCATGGATATCTTCTTTAACTTTATAGCGGTCATTAGGAAGAATCTCTATAATTTAAAATGGCCCTTTGAACTTTTCTAAAAATTTCTCGCTTTGACTATTGTTAGAAGAAACACTTGATATTCTTACTAGAACCAAACCTCCTACCACGAATGTTTCTGCTTGTTTTCTTTTCTTATTAAATATTTTTCTCTGGATTTTTGATTTGCTTCTAAGTTTCTTTTTGCTTTTTCTCTTAACTCGATCACATCTGGGTTGTCACTTTCTTCGTCTACGTATCAATCAGCCTGACTTCTGAGATTTATACCCAACATTATTTCGGCAGGAGTAGTCTCTGTTGTCTTATGGTCCGTACTGTTAATCCCTTGTTGGATTGCTTCTAAATTTGAGTCTCAGTTATCGCTAGATGTGTCAGTTTCCATTATAGCTAATGCATCTATGGGTCGGTCTTTTCACCTTCAGATTAAGTGTTAGGTAATTGTTATCTCCCAGATAACTTAAAAAGTCATCTTTTCGCTTTTGAATAAAACTAACCGGTAGATAAATTGGTCTAATCTGAAATATAACTTATCTCACGAGTCTATGGACGCTGTTGAAGATGTTGTGTTTTTGTAAATAGTGGTTAACTTATTTGTGTCGTATAATTGTATATTTATTCTCGAAAAAATACTGGGAAAAATAAGCGGTATAATAAAAAAACAGCCTTTACATATATAAAATAGTATATATTATGGAAAATAGTAGAAACTAATGCCATTCGTACCAATTATACACTTTTGAAAAAATCAATTTAATCAAATGAATAACCCATGTTAATTACAATACAACAGACCCCAGAATCAGTTTTTTATTTTGTAGTACTGCTTTGTGTTTTAGGCATCATCTTGCTTATTGAAAGTTGGTCAATTTTTTCTTTTCTGTCACTTGCTTTATGGAGTTTTATATAATAAATATTTTCAGAAAATACAAAATCTTTCAAATAAGTGACAGAACGAAATAACGACAACAAGTGACAGTGAGAGTGACATATCGCACGCAAGTCTTTATAGACATGCATAGTTATCTGTTAACTGGCTCCACCTATCCGTCACCTGTGGGTATAACAACCGTTGCTATGTGAAGTCGAATGCTTCCATTTTCATACAACTCATTAAATTTATTTGATATAAAAGAAGTTCCAGCATCGGCTACTATTCTTTTCGGATTGTAAAAAATAGAAAATATTTTTGACAATTGTTTTATTACATTAACAGCTTTAAAATCCGGAAGTGCTCTAGGAAACACACAAAAACTACTAATAGGTGGCTAATTCTCTTACTGCTTTCCACGAATGCTCTAAAATGGTCAAAATGTAGGATATGAAACGGTTTCGCATACTTTCTTTTTATATATTTTATTAACATTTTTAATAATAAAATAAGTATTGACGATAAAGTAAGAAATGTTAGAACAAATAATTTATAAAATTAATTTTGCGTAGTATTATTTCTTAGTATTTCTTCTTCAACATGTCTTAAATTAATTTCCAGTAAAGTTTGGTATAATATACCAGTTTTCCACGCCTGAATTTCCGACACTCATGTCTGCAAATACAGGTTTTAATTTGTAATTGAGCGTCTCTTTTGCAGTCATGGATATTCCTATCGAAACTGTTTTCAAATTATCATCATTCACCATTGACAAATTCATTAATTTCCGTTCTGAAAGCGTACAATCTTGTCTTAGGTTCTACAAATCAAAACAAACGGACATATGATGAACCATATCCGGCAAATTGGTATATAGTATGCCGTTTAAAATTGTTGTATTATTAAATTTATATTTACCATGGTTTCGGCTCAATTCATCTTAAAGGGTAAAGTGACTGAGGAGGGGTTCGATACTTTATCCCACAATTTCAAATTTGCCAATTATTCTATAGTTTTAATTTTATCCTCATAAAACTTTATGTCGTTACTAATATTACGGACTTTTTCACCGAATTTCTCAAGTTTACGTCTATAATCTTCGAAGACATTACACTAATAATGATTTTAATAGACAAATACCTATTAAGTAAAACAATATCATGTGACAATAAAAAAAAAAATGAAAAATATTCACAATTATATTTCACCATGAAGATTGCATTTGTAGCAGAGCTGGGACGAATCCTCGAAAAATGGATTCGAATCACGAATCCGAATCACGAGATGTGATTCGAATCACGGATCCAATGTTCGAATCCTTTAAA